CTGCAGCAGGCAGCAGGCTGCCTGGCCCCCCCAGCCTCATCCCACAAGCCACCCCGGCCCCGCTGCCCTCCGGAAGCACGCTCGGCCCTGCTGGGGCTGCCCGGAAAGCAGCTGTTGTTTTGCTCATCCCTGGTCCTGGCACGGGCCGTGGCAGGAAGCGCGGCCGCATCCCTGCTGCACCGGGGCTTGGCCGCGGCCGCCGGGCTGAGCTCAGCGCAGGATGTTCCCCCGAGCCAGCGGGACAGCGCTGGAGCCAGCCCCGCTTCCCAGACCTGCTCCTGCTGCCTTTGTCCCTGGCTCGCTCCTGCCCTAGCCCAGCCTCCTATCGGAACTGACCATGGCAAGCCACAACGGACATGCAAACCTTCATGTCCTGCCATGCTCTGCAGCAGCCCGGGCCCCGTGCATGGTGGGCACCCACCTCCCCGTCCTCCCACCTCCCTTTGCGGCACGGCCAGGTGCCGCAGCAGAGGCAAGCAAACACGCAAGGACAGAGGGGTTGATGCTGACAGCGAGCCAGAACGGCTGCGACTTTGTTCCCAGCTCCCTTTGATCATATCCCCCCCATCTCCCCGCACTGGCAGCAGCCGTGTCGAGCTGATTAGTGTCCTGCCAGTGACTGCACAGAACGAGCTGTGCTACAGCAGGCAGAGCTCAGAGCTGGGGGGTCAGCGACAATGTCCTGGCTCTCCAGTTGCCTCCCTGTGTCACGGTGGTGGGTATCTCACTGAACTGATGCAGCAATCGCAGCACCCTGAGCCACCGGTGCAGTGCAGACATGGCTACATGACCTGACTCCCCTCTCCAGGTCCCCCACCTCTGCCCGAGGAGTCCCCACACCCCCAGCCGTCCCCCGCAGGATGGATGCATGGGGCAGAGGTACAAACCCGCCAGGGATGGGGATGTGGGCATCCTGGGGCCACTCGTGTTTCACCCTTCCATCCCCCAGCATGTACACCCCAGCAGGCAAAACCCACAGCCCTGCCCCTGCCCGCAGCCTCGCATGGAGCTGCTGCAGGCAATCTCCTGCCTCCGGGCTCAGCCTGCGCCTTCTTGCCCAAAAAGGTGCCGTGGGAAAGCCCGGGGCGGCCGGCTGTCAGTGGTGGCTGTCCCTGGCCCCATCCCCATGCCGAGGAAGCCGCCAAACAGATGGGCAGCCCTGAAGTTGGTGGGTAACTTTGTGAACAGACAGTTTCCACCTCCCAGCACGATCCCTGCCTGGCGCCCGGCGCCGCTTCCCCGTTGCCCTCCCCGGGCGCAGCTGTCAGTTAGCGTTTCAGCTGAGAATATTTCTCCTGCCATCTGTTCCCGCTATGAAGCCGGGCTGCGGAAGGAGGCAACCACATTTGCCTGAGCAAATCACTTTTTTTAACCTGGCCTCTTGCAGCTCCATCCAGGTTTCACTCCATCAATCAGCAGGGCTCACTGCCGGCTGGCGTGTTTATCCCCCCGAGCTTGTTAAAGTGAGCGCTGCGCAGCAGCAGAGAGGAGATGCTGGTGATGCTGCCTAATGAACAAACATCTTAATTACTGGGAGTTTTTACCTCCTGACAGAGCAGACAGACACCTGGATGGAGCCGGCATGCTAACGACCCAGCACAGCAACAGGCAAGGGAAGGGCTGGCAACGAGTCTGGGTGCAGGGCTGACGGTGGGAGCTGCTGCCGGTGCTGCGGGGCGGTGAGTGGGTGGCCTGTGCCTTGCTGAGCGTTGTCCCCGAGGCACAGGGAGAGGCCCAGCCTGCTTGTCCCCCCGGGGCTGCCACCTGAGCCCTCGGCCAGGCATAGCGGGTGCAGAGCATGGGAACGAGCTCATCCAAAGCCATCCAGCCCCACGGGAGGGAACCACCAACACTTGGCCCAAGGAGGGCGATGGCCACCTTCACCCCGGCTGCCCCAAGGGGACTCACTGACCTTCCCCAGCTGACAGAAGAACAGGCTCAGGGCAACACGGGGCTGGGGGGTTATTTTATTCTTTGCTTTGGTCTATACAAAAACAACTTACAGAAATAATAAAATCTTCCATTCCTGAACCACACTCCAGTAACGGTCCATCCCTTTCTGGTGGAAGCGTTAAACCACCATCAGATCTAGAGCCTCTTTAAAAAATGTGTTAGATAAGGGAGGAGGGGACGGAAACACACCACTCACCAAAAAGAAGGGAAACGGGTTAAAATGTGCAACAGAGATCAGTACAAGGACACAGTTCCTAATGCTGGAGTCACTCCTCTACGGGTACTGGTAGGATAGGCAGGTACACAAAGTCAGCTCCCCAATGGCTGATTGGAAAGAATTAAACCGCAGACATCCCGATGGCTAAAACGAAGGTCCTGGGACACGGCACCCTTTGGTTTCAGCAAACTCTGGATTGGCCTGATTAAGTTAGAGTTCACAGAAAGCAAAAGGTTTTCCCGTGTTAGATTCCTTTCCTAGAACACTAACACGCAGAACAAATAGTGGGGAAGTTAGAAAGCACAAACTTAAAGACGGCAAAAGCCGTTGGCACCATATTAAAAATAAAAAAGAAATATATATTCATAGAAAAGACTATTTTGCCAATGAAAGGTCGCTAACGGTGCAGGGTTTGTGTGTTTTAAAGCTTCAGAAACAGTATCTTGGATGCTGGATGCGGCAGTAGGTGCTTAAAGCAGTCCCAGGAGGAAGGACCTTCTCCACAGGCCCACAGCGAAGAAAAAAAATCAAAAAATAAAACCTCTTGTGGGAATGGAAAAGTTTGTCTTCTCAGGCACTTCTGTCTCCCAAGTCCTTCTTGTGAATACTCAGCTCTGGGGCCACCCTCTTCTGTATGGAGAAAACACCTGCGCGCGGCAGGAGAGCTCCCGTTACTCGACCGAGGGGGGGCTTCGAGGACACCAGGGCCCCCCGAGCCCATGGGGTGATGGGGATGCCGACCCGCGGCAGCACCGGGGACCCCGCGGCACACCAGGCGCCAGCAGCCAGCCCTGCCTCCCCCAGCCGCCCGCCCCACTCCAGGGCCGAGTGCGCTCTCGATAAGCGCCCGCACCCCACGTACATGCCAGCAACTACCTGGTGCGGGGGCTGCGGGGCGGGTTAGGCGAGCATGTGGTCAGCGAAGGGCGCTCGGACGCCATCGCTGTAGGCGTCCATGGGGTAGTCCCCGTCCATGTCCATGTGCATGTCGATGGGGTCCAGGGGGATGTCACCCGAGTACATGGGGCGGTAGCCGGGGTCCAGCTCTGCAGGAAAGGGACGCAGCAACCTCAGCTCCCACCGGTGAGAGACTTCTCCAGACCTCAGCCACCCTCCTGGTCCCCCTGCCCAGGGCAGCGTGTGGCACATGGCGCTGCAAGGGACACAAGGGCCACCCACCTGCCCCAAGCCTCTGGGCCAGCCCCGGCACACAGGGGAGCGGCTGCACGTGCTCCCCGGGGAGCTGAGCATCCTGCTGAGCATCCCCAGGCAGGCCAGGCTGGCACTTTGCTAGCAGCCACCCGAGAAAGGTTTTAAAACCAGCCTGGTTTGATGAGATGAGGCAACTGCCCCACCAGAGCACAGCCCACGGGGGGACCCCGCAGGAAGAGCTGGCGCTGTACTCACCATCTGAGTAGGGCTCGTTGATGGGGATCATGCTCTGAGCCTACGAAAGAAGGTGACACAACTGAAGAGGGGATTCGTGCTCACATGTGCACGATGCTCAGGGGCTACGTGGTGCCCAGCCCCATCCTGGGTAGCAGGTACCGCGACCCAGGGCTGCCAAAGAGCCAAGGCCACAGCCCATCCACCCCCCACTTCCCCCCGTTTGCCAGTCGCTCCTGTCCGAGCTCCGTCTGGAGGCGGCGGCAGCAGCTTTTGGAAGCAGGATGGGGCCGTCCCAAGAGGGCCTGGTTTCCCCAGGGAAAAGGACTCGTCTCCGTGCCCAGCGGGATGCTCACCGCCTCCCAGGCTGCTGGGTCGTGCTTGAAGAGGGAGTTGGTGAGCTCCACGGAGACACGCTTCCTGTAGTCGGGGTTCTTGTCCTCTGAGATTCGGAAGAGCACGGCGGCCGCGTAGGTGGCTGAAGAGGAAGGGTGGCAGCCTCAGGTCCCGGTGCCGTGCAGCACCGAAGCAACAGAAGATCCAGACCGGCTGCAGCTGGGGCGATGCCAGGTGGCAGAGAGCCCCTGGCACAGGGCCCGGCCCAGCAGCACTCACCCGTCCCCTCGTTCCTGCAGCAGCTCCATCAGCGGAGCGGATCCTGGAGTGCAGCAGCTCCATCAGCGGAGCCGAGGCCCCCTCCGCATCAATGGCATCTGCCGCCTCCTTGTCCTGGGCCAGCTCACACAGCACGCCAGCCGCAACGCGCTGGATGTTCTCCACCGGTGAGTAGAGGAGCTGTCAGGAGAGATTAGCGGCAACGTGAAGCAGCCAGTGAAGAGCTGTTGTGCTCCTGATGTGGTCTGACATGCACGGGTGCCATCAGACGAGCACTGCAGCTCCCTGGCCCCGGCACTGCGGGGCTATGCCAGCCAGCCGGGAGGTGGCAGAGCCCAGCCCCCATGCCCCCCCCGCCCCTGACCTGTACGAAGAGAGGGATGGTGTTGAGGCGGAAGATCTCCATGCGGTTCATGGGGTCCCGGGCCAGGATGTGCAGTGCCCCTGTGCACCCCTCCACGATCTCCTCCATCTTCACTCCGTCCTGCCAGGGGACAAGCGCTCAGCTGGGGCGTCCCACACCAGGGCATGACCACCCTGAGCATGGGCACAGGCTACCCCCCAGGGACAGGTCAGCTTTTGGGGTGCCAGGCTGTGCCAGGAGCAGGGCAGAGGGGCACCCCCAGCAGCCCCTGCCGCAGGGACTCACTGTGTAGGGCTGCTGCGTGCCGGCTGCTGCATGCCGCTGGGCGTCCTGGTGAGCCTTGACCAGCAGCTGGACCAGGCGGGGGATGACGGCGGCCTCCTGGAGCGGGGCATGGTTGGCCGGGCACAGGGCCAGGTTGCGGATCAGGCCTATGGTAGCCTGGAGGAGAGAAGGGGGGAAGGAGAGATTCATCTCGACCATGGATCACAGCAGCACGTGCTCCCCACGGGACCCTCCAGCCAGGCCCCCCCCCCCTGCCTGTCCCACCCCATCCCCCTCTGTGGTGCAGGCTGACTTCAGCTTCCTCCCACACCGGATCCGGCCCCCTCCCCGCGGGGGAGGCCAGGGCGAGTATTGATTCCAGCCAAGCAGCCGGCACGAGCCATTTCCTCCATTAGCTGCCGTCAAGGACGCCGCCCAACCGGACCAGGGCTGCAGTGGTAGCAGCCCGCCATCGCTCCGTGCACGGCACCAGCTGCAGACCCCCTCAGCAGCATGTCCCACCACGGGCGAGCAGCCGGGGGCTCGCTCAAGCCCAGCCACTGGCTTCCTCCGGCCCCCCACATCCCCCTGGCCCCTTACCTTGACCAGTGGCCACTGGTTGGGCTGGTTGAGGAGCTTGACGATAGCGGGGATGCCGTAGTTGAGCCGCACAGAGTTCTGAGCCATCTCGGCCTCAGGGTGCCGGCTGGTGAGGTGCCGGAGAGCGCAGACGGCCGGCTCGGTGATGTCCTCCTTGTCACCTGCCCGCAGGATGGTGTGGATCAGGGCCTCCACCCCATTTGACTGCGTCACCAGGGTCTTGTTCTTGCTGTTGTTGCAGGTCAGGTTGGAGAGGGTGCCGGTGGCACAGGTTAGCACGTTCACATCGTCGGAACTCAGCTGGTTCACCAGGATCTTGAGGACGCCATCCAGGCCCTCCTGCGGGAGCAGGGATGGGAGGTCAGACCAGCCCCCCTGCAGCCAGATCTGGGCTCAGCCAGTGGCTGGGCTGCAGCCCTGTGCCCGTCCCCTGTGTCTCTCGCCCGGGCATGGGGAGCCAGAGCTGCTCCCCCTGGACGGGCCTGACACCCAGCTTTGGAGAGGAAGAGCCCTCTCCCGCAAGGATGGCTCCTGCCATTGCAGAGAGGATCCAGCCCCCAGCCATGCTCCTCCTCCCAGACCTGGCACCCTCTCCCCTCAAGACCCAGGCTTGTGTGGCTGCCCTCGCTGGAGCTCGCACACCCCTTGCTGTGGACCCCGGACCCCCAGCACCCCATATCCCGGCCACACACGCCCCCCCGGCTCTGCATGGGCCAGAGCAGGCAGCAATGGCGGAGAGGCAGGGGTTGCCATGGGCCAGCAGGCAGCAATGGCGGAGAGGCAGTGTTTGCGCCTCCCACACTACGCCTTTCCCCATCCCCCCCGCAGCCAGAGCTGCTTCTCCGCGATGCTGGCATGGCGTGAGCAACAGGCACTCCCGACATGTGCAGCTTTACTTAGAGTTTAATGTCTCCAGCAGCTTTTCTCTGCTGGGAAGTGCAAACAATGCACCCGCCAGTGCTCCCTGAGCAGTCCCGGGGTGACCCCGGTCCCAGCCATCACTACGCCTTTCCCCATCCCCCCCGCAGCCAGAGCTGCTTCTCCGCGATGCTGGCATGGCGTGAGCAACAGGCACTCCCGACATGTGCAGCTTTACTTAGAGTTTAATGTCTCCAGCAGCTTTTCTCTGCTGGGAAGTGCAAACAATGCACCCGCCAGTGCTCCCTGAGCAGTCCCGGGGTGACCCCGGTCCCAGCCATGCCGGCAGGCAGCCAGCAGGGGGGCAGGAAGGAGTTAAAGGCGCCATGGCCGCATCCCCCCCTCAATCCGCAGAGCCAGGGATGGTTACGCGCCAGCCCAAATAGTTTCCACGCTGCATCAGGCACTAATCTGCACAGAGGGGCGGCCCCAGCAGATGGGGAACGCATCAGGAGGCAACAAAGGGCTGGGGAGAACAACCCCAGAGCAGAACTCGGGGTCACCCTCGCACCGGCTGCCACTCAGCCCCATGGGCACAACCACCTCGACAGCAGCTCTGATGGCAGCTCCCTCGCTGGGGAAGGAGCCGAGCAGGCGGCCAGCGCCAGGGCAGGCTGCCAGGGGCTCCTTGAGTCAGAGCAAGCAGCAGCCCTGGCGATGCCCCACTGAGCACGTGAGCGACTGCCGGTGGCCTCAGCCCCCCGCTGGGGACACGGCAGGAGTGCTGGCAGCCGGCTGTCATGGGAAGGGCCCTGGGCAGTAAGCAGCCTCCTGCGATGCCAGGTAAACCCCTGCTGCAGCAGGGCTCAGGCACAGCTGGGCACCCCCTCGCTCTCCCAGGCACACATGCTGCCACAGCCTGCAGCTCACAGGGATTGGAAATGGCACAAGGACATTGCTTTGGATTCAGTCTGGCACAAGCAGAGGGCGAGGGGCAGCCCGGCAGCTGGTACGGAAAAGCCTCCAAAATGCTGTGTTGAAGCACGACCCAGGGTCCCGCAGACTCACCTGTTTGGTAGCCACGTCAGAGAGGTTTCGCAGGGTCCAGAGACAGTTCTGGACCAGCCTGGGGCTGGAGCTGGTCAGGTGCTTGCCCAATGCCTGCATGCCGCCTGCCGGGGAAGGAGACACCAGCCCATCTGTAAATACCCAAAGCTGCCCCCGCAGAGAGGAGAAGGGAGAGACAGTGGGTCTGCGTGGTGAGTGGGGGCTGGGCACCACCCGACCGAGGCCTCCAACACACGATGCAGCCTCACGGCTTAGCGGAGGCTATATGTGGTGCGGGAAGACAGCTCCCGGCTGGCCAGCCAGGCCAGATCCTGCCCATGCATGGTGCCAGGAAAGCACCTCAGCAGCCTTTCAGAGCAAGAAACCAGGCCACACGCAGGTGGTTTCACCTGGCTGTGCAAGGCATCTGCCTGTCTTGCACATCAGCTGTGAGACGGCACCCTCAGCTGCATCATCCTGACGCCACCATCCTCCTCCTGTTTGACACCAGCTCTGCTGCAGCCCCCCAGCCCCTCTTACCAGCCTCAACGATAGCAGGCTTGTTGCTGGGACACACCGACAGCACCTTGAGCACCCGGCTCGTGGTCCAGAGCAGCTTCTCATAGTTGTAGCTGCGCATGATCTGCACCAGGGCCTGGGGTCCTCCGTTGGCCAAAATAATCAGCTGCAAGACAGAAGGGCCAGGGTCGGGGCATGCGGCAGCTCTGGG